TTCTGTGTATGAGAAGCAAAAAATTATTTTTGAATGAATAAACTGCTGAAGGTTGACTAAATCTGCTTTTAGCATTTGTGATCCAAATATATGAGATAAATCTTGTGTATAATATCTAGATCATTGACCTTAATCAGTAGCTGTCACTGTGTAATGTAAGTGTTAATAATAGTAAAAGCAGGGTATAGTGCTAAAAAACAAATAACGGGGAGCTATGGAGTTGTGACGTCACGCCGCGGCGCCAAGAGAGCCCCGGCGGCCATCTTCAGATGGTCAGTGTTTTTTGTTTGCCTATACTCATTGTTGTACTTCACTTGAATAAACATCGTCTGTTTAGAAGATATCACACTACCTCCTCTTTTGGAACTCCTTGTGAGCTACTAATACCCACAGAGCGGCTGCATCACATATGGCAGTGGATACCAGGCAGTGTGGGGCACCTGACCAAGACCAGACCATTGAGGGATCCCCAGTATTCTGGAATTGATATTTCTTAATGCGCATTTGGATTGCGTATCTGGTGAGTGCACAATCTCATCATTCTTATCACCATAGCACCAGACTAGACCACTGGACTTTGAAGATCATCTGGATCTCCTGTGCACTTTTCATTGTGGACTATTGTTTGATTTCCTAGTCCTGCACTTTGCACTTGATTGGTCACTAAACAGTGACAAGATTATCACTTTATGCTGCACTTTATTTCAATTTATATGAGCTGGTTTCATGTGTTTTTATGATGTATGCATGCATTTACCATTGACACGGTTTTTGCACCATTCAGTCACTTGATTCTATTATTTAAGTATCGTTATTTATTGTTTTATAGCACTGCACCCTGCTTTTACTATTTATTTGGAGGTTTTATATGGTACCTTTTGGTGTTTAGCAGCTTTATTTCTGTATAAGCGCTCGCTTGTTTTTACAGATTATTCTTAAGTGTTAATAATAGTTTTCATGTATACTATGGCTTAGATGCTTGTTATATTTGAAGATGACTCACAAGCTATTCCGAATCTGTTTTGTCGGATCACTTGCATTAAAAGTAGAAATTGCACTGTAGGCTTTTTTAAAACCAATAATTTAGCACATTGTGTGTCAATGACAGATTACTGTCATTCATATAATAAAGGCATGGCTTTGTTTAGGCACATTTTCAGCAAAACAATATGTGCACTAGTATTGGTGGAATTTTTGTTGTAATTATCATCAGTGAAACAATAACTGATCACTAAGGAGATTCATCTATAAACAGTGAGCTAACAAAACATTTCTTGATGCCCATAGTAATTAAACAGCTTGCAATCGCACTGCAGTACAAAACTGAAAGGACTCATTTTAACTTGCTTTGGACTCAGAAAATGCGATCAGGGAGCAGTGCAGGAGCTGCTGCCAGGCATTTAGAAGGCGATACTGCCACCTCCTACATGTTGTTTTTTTTTTTTTGACACTTGAACAAGGTTTTGGGAATTCTGTACTGCAACCACAAGACTAGTATTTGGCTTGTGGTTGCGGCTCCGCTACATTCATTTGAATGGGTTGCATTTGGCGGTACTACTGCTAGCATAGACCTATAATTTTTGCTGTAGTTATGAAGCATCGTACAAGTTCATCGGGCCGTGGGTTATTTTACGGCAGGTGGCAGGATCACAGTAAAACTATGTCTCAACCTCTTATTTTTACCGCCCCTGACTGCAAGTGTACACCAGCCCAAAATGAAGTATTCTCATTGGTTTTTAGAACGGCCTGTGGGCCGAGAGTTATTAATTCTGTTTAGCCACGTTTGCATACGTATTTGCGTTTAGAAGCGTTTTTTTAAGATAACCTCAGGAGACCTTCCAAAATTCCCAGAATGCACTGAAAAACAGTAAAACATTAACTATTTCAGACATTTTGAGAGAAATAGAGAGAGCAGGAGCAGAGAGAGCAGTATGTGTTGAGATGACCTGTCTTTTCTGGTTGTATTCACTATGGATCCCATCATGAGTATAATGCAGCACGTTCTACCATTTTTTCCTTCACACAAAACCTGGAACTGACTGCGCTGGTGTGCTAGGTCCATTTGAATACATGGAAAACGCTTTGCATGCATTTCTGATTATGAAAAAAGGTTTTTGGACAGCATTTGGATATGGAACAGTTAAAAAACGCTGCTAAACTCAATTGCTTATAAATGTGCTTAGCCGCGTTTACAAGCGTTTGGCGTTTGAAACGCTTATAAAATCTACTCCTGAACGTTTGGTGTGTTAAAAAAAATGACTGTAAACTCAACTGACTGTAAACGACTGTAAACGACTATGTGTACATGGACACATAGGAAAACATTAGGGAGAGTTCAGGGCTGCTGAAAAAAACGCAAAAAAAAGCTCCTGAATGTGAGTTTATCAGCTGCAGTGTACATGGAGCCTTATAGCTTATTAGCAGTAGTTCTTTTGTTCTAATAGGGAAAAAAACAGTGAGCGCTAGTCCTGAAAGCGGCTAAGCACTCTAAGCAACCGATATATACTTAAAATAGAATAACATAAAAATAGTGCAGCGCTATGAGTAGTGATAGTAAAACAGATATGAGTCCACTTAAAGTCTTAGTCAATAGAACGTGTCCAGTGACAAGTGAGGATTCAAAGTTGGTGATCCGTGTGGAAACGGCTGAAAAACGCACTCACCAGAACAAAGACACATAAACGCAGTGTGCATCTAGAGCTCATGGATCCTCAATCCAGAAGAGAATAAAGCTGGTCCGGTTACAGGAAAAATGGATCCCTCCTCTTTGGATGCAGCAACAGATCCTCCTCTTCCCAGTTAGGTGTAGGATTCCAAGATCAGGGTTCTGCAAGCAAAAAGCTCCTCAAGGGAGTTTAGGGAAGGACACCCATAGTGTAGTAGATTATAAAAAGCAGCTTTATTAAAGTAAAAGTAGCATCCAATTCAAAGTAGGCAGGTATCATCAAGATGTGTCAGCAAGACAAACTAACCCTGACACTCTGAATGATGGCCGCCGGGACTCCACGTGGCTCCGGCGTCGTAGCGTCTCGACGTCCAGGCTCCTCCTTACGCGTTACGTGTGCACGCACATCTTCAGAGGTATGGAACCACCATTGGTGTCAGCGGGAGTAATAGTGTCCCATCATTGGTGTCAGAGGGAGGAATAATGCCCCATCGTTGGTGTCAGTGTTTGTGGAAGAACAGTGTCCCACCCTTGGTGTCAGTGGGAGGAATAATGCCCCATCGTTGGTGTCAGTGGGAGGAATAATGCGTTATCAGTGTTTGTGGAAGAACAGTGTCCCACCATTGGTGTCAGTGGGAATAATAGTAGAAATTCTGAAGGACCCTCTGCACACTGGTATATACCCTTTCAAGCAGACTATGCAATAAATAAGTGTTGGGATTTGAGCACAGGGATCTCGTTTGTTGTATTGTTGGGTCAGTAGCCAGACCTGAACCTTGTAGCTCTCCCCATTGTGTCTTTTCCCCCCCTATGCTAGCATTGTGTCCACAGTAGCACTTGCGTAGGCAGGGCAGAGTAGGACTGGCCATAGAGGGATTACTTTGATGCAGTTGGCCAGCTTAAGCATGTATTGCAATATGTGTGAACTAAATATCCCTATTTATTGCATAGTTTGCTTGGAAGGGTATATACCAGTGTGCAGAGGGTCCTCAGAATTTCTAGTGTTAATATGTGGTTACACCCCTTTAGCACCTGATGGATAAATGCATGCACTAGCTGTTGGGATTTGAGCACAGGGATCTCTTGTTTGTTAGTGGGAGTAATAGTGTCCCATCGTTGGTGTCAGTGGGAGGAAAAAATTGCCATCGTTGGTGTCAATGGGAGGAATAGTGTTCCATCATTGGTGTCAGTTGGAGGAATAACGGCCCCATCGTTGGTGTCAGTGGGGAGGAATAGTGCCCCATCATTGGTGCCAGTGTTTGTGGAAGAACAGTGTCCCATCATTGGTGTCAGTGGGAGGAATAGTGCCCCATCGTTGGTGTCAGTGGGAGAAATAGTGTCCCATCATTGGTGTCAGTGGCAGAATAGTGCCCCATAGTTGGTGCCAGTGTTTGTGAAAGAACAGTGTCCCCATCATTGGTGTCAGTGGGAGGAATAGTGCCCCATCGTTGGTGTCATTGGGAGAAATAGTGTCCCATCATTGGTGTCAGTGGCAGAATAGTGCCCATCGTTGGTGCCAGTGTTTGTGAAAGAACAGTGTCCCATCATTGGTGTCAGTGGGAGGAATAATGCCCCATCATTGGTGTCAGTGGGAGGAATAATGCCCCATCGTTGGTGTCAGTGGGAGGAATAGTGTTCCATCATTGGTGTCAGTGGGAGGAATAATGCCCCATCGTTGGTGTCAGTGGCAGAATAGTGCCCCATTGTTGGTGCCAGTGTTTGTGAAAGAACAGTGTCCCATCATTGGTGTCAGTGGGAGAAATAATGCCCCATCGTTGGTGTCAGTGGGAGGTGTAGTGCCCCATTGATGTCAGAAACAGGAGTTGTGCCCCATTCATGGTGTCATTGAGGCATAGGACTCCAAGGGCTAGATAAAGGCAAGCAAAGGGCCATATCTGGCCCCTGGGCCACAGTTTGGAGACCACTGAGCTAGAGCAAAGAATACTGGAGCTAAAGAGGGGCAGTCAGTGAGATCCCCAAACTATCTAATCAAACCTCCTCCAAAAAAATAAATCCTATTGAGGAAACTGCTGTGCTCTAGTTCTTGTGGGATCATCTATCTAATTAAATGGTAAACTTCCGGCAAAAGATGAGATAGTGAAGCCCTCCCCGTCTCCGCCTCCTTCCTGCCATTTGTAGTAAGAAGAGCCTGTAGCGTTTTGCCAGGACTCCACTAAAAATGGCGTCTCCGTGGAACAGAGCGATCTTCCAGCGTTGACATCGTTGCTATGCCGCAGGGAGCGCCAAGCATAACAACTCACGCTGGAGACCCGGTGCTGATGTGAAATGTGCCCGCCGTGTACAAGAACAGAAAGAAAAAGTTCCTCTTGCGGGCAGGTATTGTGTGCGGTAAGCGGTGCTGTCAGTGCGGGAGAGATGACACAGTCTATAGTTGTACAAGGTGAGGAATAATGGAGATACTGGAGGTGATGAATGGCTGCTTTACTTTTTCTTTTTGCTGGTGCCATTCTAAAAGTTTGCTCCCTCTTCTAACTTGATAAGTGGCACGTCCGTGCTATGGAGGAGTTCTGTAAGTGGGGATGGACCTGATATTTGCTGCAACCTTTCTCAGGCTTTTTTCTACATTGAGGAGCCATTAAAAAACCCTTCATGTGTCAGGGACACGAGTGAGGAGGGTCAGGGGAAGAATGTTCCTCATATTTGTAGTCATTGGGAAGAATCCCGCCATTGCAGCTAAAGAGAACATAGTTGTTGTCAGAGGTAACTTATCTGAGAGGCACACATCAATCATTGCTTAACCACCTGCCTACCGGGCACTTATACCCCCTTCTTTACCAGGCCAAATTTCAGCTTTCAGCGCTGTTGCACTTTGACAATTGCTGCGGTCATGCAACATTGTACCCATATGAAAATGTTATCATTTTTTTTCTCACAAATAGAGCTTTCTTTAGGTGGTATTTAATCGCCGCTGGGCACTTTACTTTTTGTGCTATAAACAAAAAAAGTGCAAAAAATTTGAAAAAAAAAAGTTTCTTTGTTTCTATTATAAAATTTTTCAGACAGGTAATTTTTCTCCTTCACTGATGTGCGTTGATGAGGCAGCACTGATGGGCACTAATAGGTGGCACTGATAGGTAGCACTAATGAGGTGGCACGGATAGGTGGCACTGACTGGAAATCAATGCTGGGCACTGACTGGCGCAACTGCTAGGCATTGACTGGTGCTGGACACGGCTGACCACGTGGTAAAAGGCCGCTGTGATTGGCCTTTTACCACATCACGTGATCAGTTGTGATCAGTTGATCAGTGTGTCCGTAGGACAGAGCGATCACGGAGATCACCAGGTGCCCACCCCCGGGGGCGCGCAGGAGAGCGCGTTCTGGGAGGACGTCATATGACACCCTCCCAGAACTTGCCGGCCGCAGTGTAGCCAACATTCGGGTATCTGCAGTTGGCAAGTAGTTAACCACTTGTCCTTCCTGACCAGGCCATATTTTGCGTTACGGCGCTGCGTTACTTTGACAGTTGCACGGTCATGCAACGATGCACCCAAATGAAATTTATGTCCTTTTTTCCCCACAAATAGAGCTTTCTTTCGGTGGTATTTGATCGCCTGTCTGTTTTTTCTTTTTTGCACTATAAATAAAAAAAGACTGACAGTTTTGAGAAAAACAATATTTTTGACTTTTTGCTATTAAACATGTCCAGTAAAAAAAGTATAAAAATAAAATTTCGTTATAAATTTAGGCCAAAATGTATTGTGTTGTCTTTGCTAAAAAAAATCCTAATAGGTGTAAATTAATTGGTTTATGTGAAAGTTGTAGCTTTGTTTTCTTTCTTCATTTTCCAAAAATTTGTTGCAACAAACAAGATCTGTAAAATGCTTTTCATACATCTTATCAAGTTCCTTGGGGTGTCTACTTTCCAAAAAGGGGTCATTTGGGGGGGTGTTTGTACTATCCTGGTATTTGGGGGGCCTCCGAAACTGTGATAGGTAGTCAGGAAGTGTAATGAGGAAATAAAGCCCTTTAACCGCTAGCCTACAGGGCACTTAAACCCCCTTCCTGCCCAAGCCAATTTTCAGCGCTGTCAAACTTTGAATGACAATTGCGCGGTCATGCAACAGTGTACCCATATGAAATTTTTATAATTTTTTTGAGACAGAGCTTTCTTTCGGTGGTATTTAATCACCTCTGGGTTTTTTATTTTTTGCTAAACAAACCAAAAACAACAAAATTTAGAAAAAAAAGTTTTTTCTTTGTTTTTGTTATATAAAATTTTGTAAATAAGAGGTTTCTCTCCTTCACTGATGTGCGCTAATGAGGCTGCAGTGATGGACACTGATAGGCTGCAGTGATTAGGAGGCATTGGTAGGTGGCACTGATGGGCATTGACAGGCATCCCTGGGCACTGAAAGGCAACGCTCATATATGACACTGGCGGCACTGACGGGCACTGATATGTGGCTTTGATGTGCACTGGTAGGCACTGATATGTGGCATTGATGAGGCACTCATGGGCACTGGCAGGTGGTATTGATGAGCACTGACAGCTGGCATTGATGGACACTGATAGGTGGCACTGCTGGGGCTACACTGATCATCAGGGCACACTGATCATTCGTGCTCTGATGATCAGTGTACATGTCCCCTCTGAGGGATGCTGATTACCAGCTGTCCTCTCCTCTCAAGCTGTCAGCGTGACAGCTCGTGAGGCGAGAAATACCAATAACCGGCGTTTCCCAATTTACATGCGATCAGCTGTGATTGGACACAGCTGTTCACATAACCGAGCCGACATCTTCGGTTCTTTCCGTTGATCAGTAATCCGCTGTGTCCTAGGGACACAGCGCGCCACCGATCGCCGCACTGCGTGACCCTTGATCCGCGCATGCGCGGTTAGAGTGGGAGGACATCATATGACGTCCTCCCAGAACGAGAGAACCGCCTTGCGCCTGTCTTTACTTTATATGGCAGGCGGGAGGCGGTTAAAAGCCTGAAGGTGCTTATTGGAGTTTGGGGTCCTGTATGCGTCTAGACTGCCAAATAGTATCTCACATGTGGTACCCCTATACTCGGGAGAAGTAGCAGAATGTATTTTGGGGAGTAATTCCACATATACCCATGGCATGTGTGGGCAATATATCATCTAAGTGACAACTTTGTGTAAAAAATAAATAAATACATTTTTTGCCATTTTCCAAAAACTAAATAAATAAAAAAAAAAATAAATTCTTCTTCTATTGACTCAACATGCCCAGCATTAGAAGCTTATGCCACACATCACTCACTCTTCTAACCACTTGAAGGCCAAGCCTTTTCTGACACTTTTTGTTCACATTAAAATATCTGTATTTTTTGCTAGAAACGAACTTCGAACCCCTAAACATTATGTTTTTTTAAAACAGATGCCATAGAGAATAACATGGTGAGTGTTGCAATTTTTTATGTCACATAGTACTTTTGCGGCGATTTTTCAAAAGCCATTTTTTTTAAAAAAATGCACTTTTTTTTTTTTTTTAAGGTACAAAAACATAATATATTGGCCAATTGTTTGTTAAAATATAAAAGATGATGGTATGCTGAGTAAATAGATACCAAACCTGACATGCTTTAAAACTGCACACGCCCCCGTGCAACGGCGAAAAACTGCAAACATTTTTAATATCCATAGGCGACGCTTTACAGGAGGTCTAGTGCTAGAATTGCTGCCCTTGATCTGATATTTGCGGCGATAACTCACATGCCACAGCATCTTCTGGATACAAAAGGGCCATGATGATCGCTTCCTGGAATTTTTGGAAGGATCCACTACATCCAGTTGCTTTGTTAATCACAAAACAGTTTTATAGAGCGAATTGAAATAAATAAACACACTTTTTTTTACCAGCATCTGGCTTTTTGGGAAACTAAGTATGGCTTCATCATCTGGTCATTAAAGTCCACCTCTCCCATGTTAAGTTTATAGTTGTGGACACAGAGGGGCTTCTCAACAACACCAGCTGCCATGGAAATTTGGATGGTCCTGTCTACGTGAATTAAAGACTGCACAAAAACATCCTCTTTGTCCTTTTACTTCATTGCAAGCAATTCATTGTTTTTCAAGCAGGCTTTTTCCCCCTTTCTAAGACAGGCATTTACAAGCTGTTGGGGGAAGCCCCGGCGATTAGGTCACACGGTGCCACATCTACCAATTCCAAGATTTGTACAAATGTCTAAATAGTGGCATGTAAAAAAAGTTGTCCACGTATAAGTGGTACCCCATATGGAAAAAGAGTGACACCAAGTCCTAAAATATCTTGTCACTGCTCCCCATATACACTGGGCATCCAGGGGGCTCCATGTGACTATCTTTTCCCTCTTAAATCTGAAAATTTCATATATAGTCTGTTGCCCTCTCACAGATCTTATACATTTTGACCGCATATCTGGCACGCTTGCTGGGGAGAAAGTGTTTGAATGCAAGGCGGCCAGAAAAATTAATGAGGGACCTCAACGCAGATGTTTTGCTGGGGAGTATACATATCTGCAAATTTCTGGTTAAGGTGATTTACTAGGAGCTGAATTTTGTGGAGCCGGTCCTTTTCAGGGTCACCCCAAGAACGACAGTGTAATGTCATTGAAATGCATAAATTGCATTATATTCTCATATCTATGCCTGGCCATGGCAGCAGAGAACATGGGCATATGATGAATCAGGTTTGTGGACCTATACAATCACAATTAATTGTTTTAGTAATGCCCATGTTGAGAGTTGGGACCAAAAAACTTTAAATTCGAAAGCCGTAATAGGTTTTCATGCAACTGGTCTGGCAAGCTTTGAATTTGGGTTGGCGGTGATAAATTGTTGTGTGTGTGTGTGTATAAATTTCTTTGATACACAATGAATCCATAAAGATCTTCCGTGAAAAACAGCTCCAAAAAATCAAGGGGAAATATTTAAATTTGCTGTTTCCACCTGAATTCCAGGTTGGGCAGTGAATGGGGGAAGTGCGGGTGCTGCAGAATTTGTGTGGGCTGCCAATCAGGATTTGCAAGCACATCCGGAAGGACTCTATGGGCCTGTATTCAAATTCTTGGTAGTTGCGGGACACTACTTGTGTGCTAGCCACTGCACCAGCTTGTACTTCACTTATGGGACTCACCACATCATCAAATGATACTGCAGTGCTGGTATGTATAAGACCAGGATGTACTAGACCGCTGGTGCTCGCCTTTTTTTACCAAAAGATAGAGTAGCACTAGTAGTGGCGCTCTGAGAATCATCATGCAATTGTAACACCTCATCAGCCTAGGAACAGGGTTGGGTACGCCTGACCTTAGCAAGGAACTCTACTCCACCGTCTGAGCTATCTGTCAGGGTGCCACTGCTCTCTACAGGTTCATATTCTGAGCCTGATTCTGTTTAGTGAGGTTTCCCCTTCACTTTCCTCTGACATGCTCAGAATCTTGTAGGCCTCTTCACTAGTGTACCTTTCATTGGACATTTTGGCCACTAAATGTATAGATACCTAGTGCGACTCATGGGGAAAAAAGAGCATCTGGCTGTCAGGGACTGCTTGAATCGCTACAAAAAATATTTACCGGTTAGTGCTAGCAGAAATAAGGCCTGATCTTGCTAACCCTGCAGTTTTGTGTGCAATGTATCAAGAGACAGTAAAACTGCTATAGGGCGGAGTTTAACTGGTTAAAGGATAAGTTTTGATAAACATATAATAAATGTACGTTGTTTTCCAGGTAAAAAATGTGCATTTATTATTTTTTGTTTGCAGGAGTCTGGAAAGCATTGCACAAGCAATCAGCAGATCTCAGGTGCCATGCAGGTCTCCTGCAGATCTGTCAGTATATCTGCTTGCTCGTACAAGATACACAGAATATAACTGGATACTAACATTTTATAGGTAAAGTTAATCCAGAGAATATCCAAATGCCTCTCGGGGGATCAAGAAGGAATTTTGTGCCCTGCAGGAGCAAATTGGATCATGCTTTTCTGGATTTTTTTTCTGCCTTTCTCATGCAGTTCAGTGTGGAGCGATTTGAGTTCATTCATTTTAGCTGAAATCACACTTTACCACACCAAATTCATGCACTACTTTCGCAAACTTGCTGCAACGCGATCCGGTACAGGCAACGCACTATGTTTGGGGTGTAATTAACTTGACCCCGCTGCTGATCGCAACTGCAATGAGTTTTGAACTCAAGCCTGAAAATATGCATGAAACACGGCTTTCCCGCACCACGAGCCAGCCCTTAGTAAGGTAAATATATTTTGGTAAACTAGTATGCTATTGTCTGTAAAGGCTTAGTATTGTGAAGTGTTCTTGCATGGCAAGACCACTTACTGTTATCTCACATATATATTCTTATTATTATAGCCAAATTTACCACCCTAACTCCTCCCACAGTTTTTACACTACATAGACAGTAATATACAGAAACGTGCGGATTGTTCCCGATTGGTGTGCTATTACTTTGTGGAACGTTTCACTGCATGGTTCACGAAATATCGGCGTTTTTGTGGTGAAATTGGTCCCATAGGAACGAATGGCAGAATGTTCAAAACTAGAGTGAGAGCTGACAAAAGCTAGAGTGTGAGCCGAAAAATCAGGACATGATTTCTAAACTGCCATCACTCCCTCATTTTCAAGCCCACCTACACAAATCTTATATCAAAACGTTCAGCTATCCCTGCTGCCACTAAAAATGTCCAGGGCTAAGCCATAGCCCTGATAGTTTTCACAATATGACCATTTGTTTGCAACTCACGCCGCCCATTGACATTCATTGAAACTCCACTCTAGCCACCTCAAATTTGAAGGGCAATATCTAAAATGTGACTGTGCCTTTTATTTTTAACATTTCAGAGACATACTATGCAAAATGTAGGTCTGGGTCTTGTGATTCTCACAATATAAAGCTCTTCGCTGTAGAATTTATAGTTTTTAAACTACAACCATTTGAAGATGGCAACCACCAGTGAAGTGAGCAAGTTGGAGCAGTTTGTTTTTAACCGCTCTTCTCTGCCCTTGCTGTAGAGTGAGTTGCCATACGCCAGGTGTGTGAGCAGGCAGCAGAGTGACAAAAGCTAGAGTGTGAGTTGTAGACTACTGGTGGAGGCAAGAACACTTCACACAATTTCCCCAGAAATTGTAGCTTTTCTAGTTTATTATGTACTCTTGAAAGATCAGCTTCTCAGTTTCTCAACTCTCTGTTGTTGTAGAGTCTTTTAGGGGCTATGCTATTCAGCCACATGTTACCCTGAGTCACAGAGAGATTGCTGTAAAGACTCCATGTTTGTGCCACTTTCATAATCAGACCATGCATTGAATGAACATGCTGAACTTACGGACATACTTTTAGTTATCGTCATTAGTAAATGGTAAGAAGAGTGCAGTTGCTAAAAGATCTTTGAGTTCCAATTCTGTGGGGGAGATTTGCGAAGGCCTGGTTCACACTAGTGCGGACCGTGCTGTCTGTATTTGCTTGGGCACGGTAGCCCATTCATTTCAATGGGCTGCTGTGCTTGCATCTCCTGCATTAAAAAGATGCATGTACCTTTTTAAAAAACATTCTGCGGTCTGAGCAGCACGATTCCATTGCAGGTGCGGGAACACAGTACAATTCCTACACCCGCAACCAGCCCACAGCCTGCAGGCTAGTTTGTAAACCCAGAGATAAACTGGTGCAGCTGTGCATAATCAATCAACTTTTAACTTCAGCTTGTTCAATTAAGCTTTGACAATAAAACCTGGAAGCTGATTGGATACTATGTACAGTTGCACCAGTTTTAGCAAATCTCCCCATCTGTGTGGATTTTAGATATTCCCTAAGTGGGTATCTTCCTATAATCCAAAATAATACTTGTAAAAATGTAGCTTCTTCTCAGACTGAAATATGAAGACAATAAATTGGAAACTGCTTTGAACGTGGGAACATTCTGTCTTACAAAATTATAGCCTAAGCAACAGATCAATTCTGACAATGTTTTAAGATTTGTATTGCTCTTATTTTCTCGTGTAGTTGGGCAGTGTGGAAATCAGATTGGGTGCAGGTTCTGGGACCTTGCATTGAGAGAACATGCTTCCGTCAACAAGGTAAAACAACTTCCACTTTTCAGATTTTTTTTTTTTTTTTTTTTTTTTGTTAAATCCAAGGTGGCACGTACTTTATGTTTAAAGCTCCTTTGGTGACTTGCACTTCAAAATAGTCCTGAGTGGTACCAAATCGGAGAAGGCGTTCTGGAGAAGCAGGTCTGCAGGGACAACATTAATGACAGCTCATCTTCAACTTAGTCCAAAGCAAAGTAAATACTTCAAAGTGTTCATGTGGCTGCTTATGCTGAGCTGTTTGGCTTAAATGCTGTTTACCTTTTGAAAAAAAAAAAAAAAAAAAAATAATAATAAATACACATCTTTTTGCAGGTAAAAAAAATGTGCATATATTATTTTTGTATACTCTGCAGCCTATAAATCATTGCACCCACAATCAGCAGAGCACAGGTGCAATGTCAGGATCCTGCAGACTCTGTCAACTGTCTGCTGTACCTCCTATACAGGCAATCAGTCCAGAAGGAATCAATGAGCTACAAGAGAGCTCGCCAGCACCCTTGTAGTTCATTAATTCACAGGAAACTGAATGAATGATGCTGCCGTGTGGGTGCAGCCATGCATTACTGTGCTGTCTTGAATTGTAACAGCGGGTGCGGGGAGAAGGTCCCCTGCCCACTGTCACAATGGGGTATCAGGGCAGGTGCAGGCAGGTAATCTTGGTAACATGGTACACCCTAAATACGGGTGTAACATGTTACCAAAGATGAACTTATCCTTTAAAGTATGTTTCTGCTCATGGTCAATGCTGTGAATACATGCTGAGGTTAAGACGTTAAAGTGAGCCTGTGATAGCTTAAAAATGTAAAAGTGTCACAAGGGTAACTCTCATGCCAGTATTCACTCCAGGGATGTTGGCCTCAACAGCCCAGGCTCCTGCACACCTCCAAAGCATACAATTTGATGAGCTGGAGTCCGACTATGATCCATCACAATGCTTTAGTCAATAAAAGACGAGGAAGCTGGTGCATTCTATCAAACTCAGCAAAGTGCTAATGCATTTTAACCAAAGCCTTAATTATAGTGGAACTAACCTTAGCATTTAAAAAATCGGGAGGAGGCAGCTCTTTATTGCAGAAGACACGTGGTATGTCTCTTGCAATAAGACACTTGCCTGCTTGCTCACAGCCTCCTGTGCTGTTGCACATGATTGACTGACTTCTGTGTACATGTGTAGGATCACGTCACTCCTTGTGGGCAATCAAGAGGCTGAAAACCTGGTTTACCTCCTGTCATTTATCTTTCAAATGCCAAGTCAAGAATCTGTGGACAACCTAGGTCTAGTCTTTAAAGCTTGCACCATACATTACAATTTGATTGTACAATCTCCTTCCCAGCAACCACAGCCACCCTGACTGGATACAAAATAAATGAATTGTTTAGGCAGGCACTTGCGTTATACAGTTGTTGGTGGATCTAAAGGAGGATGTACAGACATTGTCCAATCACATTGTAACATGTGAATCCAGGTTTCAAATCCAGTTGCTATGTGATGCAAGAGTCTTAAAAAGTTTAAAAAGCAAACCGTTCATATCTCTCCCTTGAGTGAGCCAAATCCTCCTTCATTTGTGCCTTACACACTCTCTTCCCAGACATGGCATCTTACATTGTGGTGGAGGTACAGCAGCACAGTGGCTTCTATCAATCCAGAAAGCACTGGTCAGGACTAGTTAATAGCTGCGCCCCCTCAACATCTTCTGATCCTACTGTAGTACAAGCAGACACAGCTTGCATGAGTGACAATGCTGCTTTGAATTTGGTAGCAGTGCAGCAGTGTTGTCCCCCCATCACAGGAAGCTGCATTAGATGGACTACACTGGTAGGGTCAGCCAGTATTGTGAGACTATGTAGGGGAGATAAGGTAAATTGGTAACCACAGATGCAGCATAATATATATGGGAAGCCATAGTTCTAATTTAAAGAGCCCAGAGGAATCATTTGAAGCCTAGACCGTTACATTTGTGGTTAGGTTCACGCCATAGGCAAATGAATACTGTAGAGCTGTTCTTACATCTTTTTAGTGTTTTAAAAAATATATAACCAGATGCAAACCATTTCTTTTTCCAGAAAGGAATTTACGATGAAGCTCTGTGCAGCTTTTCTAGAAATGTTGATACAAGGTAAGGGTTATTGTTCATGCAGAAAAATAAGAAACTTTAAATCTGCTGCTTGCACAGCCCTGAAAAACTATTGTGCATAATCTGAAGAACTGGATGTCAGTGCTATGGATCCCTTGACTTAAATTAATCTCAGAAAGCTTTGTATCGGTCAGGACAGTCTGTCATGTTGGTAAATTAATTTAGAGGATGATTGTAGTGGTTCCAGGTGTTCATTGGCCCGCTAACATCATGCTTGGGTGGTTTATACAGTTTGATTTGTTGCATGTGGCCAGTATCAGTGCCTATTCAAACCTGACCATTTTCATGCAGTAAAACACATGAATAAAAATGCATTTGAAATAGAAATTCCATTCTCTCCTATGTGGCTGGTTTACATGAATGCAATACGGTTTAGTATATGTTTAAGGGGAACTATATAGGGCCATTCACATCTTTGTGTGTGGGTTACCTCATGTGTTGCAATTCACGCGCGTGAATAGGCTTTTAGTAGTCCTATAGCTTGCACCAGGTTGTAGGACTGTTCTTACCAAGACCTCTTTACTGATATCTCCCTGGCCATTAAATATGTCATGAAAGAAACACAATGACTGCCATTTTGACCTCTCTTTCTGACAATGTTAGCTGGTCATACTGCCTTTCTGGCGTCAATGAAACCTAGATACATGGGACAAATTTAGTGGTATCAGTATGCAGTGGTAACTTGGCAATAACTTTGTGGGGCATAATTTTAAAGCCGTAAATGTGATATTCACTGCAGGTAAATCAATTACTGTAATATAAAACACAAACATCAGGAAGATCATCTGCAGTGCATTATTGGTGAATGTCATATTTACTGCCTTATAAATATACCTCAATGATTAATTTGAATACCTAAAAATGTTTACAGTGTTGTGGAAGGACATAGTGTAGCACACTTTTATGAACTAAATACCCCGCTGAGATTTTTATTTGTATTTTATAATCTGATACATGTGGAAAAATGCAATTTACATTTGAAATATATATATATATATACCGTATTTTTCGCTCCATAAGACGCACTTTTTTCCCCAAAAAATATGGGGGAAAATGTCTCTGCGTCTTATGGAGCGAATACTGACCAGTCCTCCACCTGTCACCGCCGCCGTGTTAGTGCCAGCGGCTGTCCCATCCCAGTGCAGCCTGTCCCCTCCCACTGCAGGCTGTCACCAAAGTTCACCTTGCCCTCTCTCAGCGGGCTGACCCCGCAGCTCTTCATAGCAGGCAGTCCCCTCGCCGAACCCAGCCAGCTTGCTCTGCAGTCCGGTCCGCCCTGCAGGCGTGGCCTGTCCTCGGAGCTCGTCCCCGCTCCTGGCATGTCTATGTACTGAGCTCCCAGCTCTGCAGTCCGGTCTGCGGGTGTGGCCTGTCCTTACAGCGCCTCCCCTTTCCTGGCATGTGTCCATAATGTGCTCCCTGCTCTACAGTCCGGTCCTATCTGCTGGTGTGGCCTGTCCTCGGAGCTCAGTGCGCCCCCTGCCTTCTGTAAGTTAAAATGACAGATGCTGGGAGTTGTAGTCCTTTTCCTTGGTGTATTGTGTCAGATCATTTGATATTCTGGGTGGAGGGGCCCTGTTGGGACTTTATATGATGTAGTATGTCCGCAGTCTCTGGTCATCCCCTGTACTGTGTCCGCAGTCTCTGGTCATCCCCTGTACTGTGTCCGCAGTCTCTGGTCATCCCCTGTACTGTGTCCGCAGTCTCTGGTCATCCCCTGTACTTTGTCCGCAGTCTCTGGTCATCCCCTGTACTGTGTCCGCAGTCTCTGGTCATCCCCTGTACTGTGTCTGCAGTCTCTGGTCATCCCCTGTACTGTGTCCGCAGTCTCTGGTCATCCCCTGTACTGTGTCCGCAGTCTCTGGTCATCCCCTGTACTGTGTCCGCAGTCTCTGGTCATCCCCTGTACTGTGTCCGCAGTCTCTGGTCATCCCCTGTACTGTGTCCGCAGTCTCTGGTCATCCCCTGTACTGTGTCCGCAGTCTCTGGTCATCCCCTGTACTGTGTCCGCAGTCTCTGGTCATCCCCTGTACTGTGTCCGCAGTCTCTGGTCATCCCCTGTACTGTGTCCGCAGTCTCTGGTCATCCCCTGTACTGTGTCCGCAGTCTCTGGTCATCCCCTGTACTGTGTCCCAGTCTCTGGTCATCCCCTGTACTGTGTCCGCAGTCTCTGGTCATCTCCTGTACTGTGTCCGCAGTCTCTGGTCATCTCCTGTACTGTGTCCGCAGTCTCTGGTCATCCCCTGTACTGTGTCCGCAGTCTCTGGTCATCTCCTGTACTGTGTCCGCAGTCTCTGGTCATCCCCTGTACTGTGTCCGCAGTCTCTGGTCATTTCTGTGTACTGTGTCCGCAGTCTCTGGTCATCCCCTGTACTGTGTCCGCAGTCTGTACTGCAGTCTCTGGTCATCCCTGTACTGTGTCCGCAGTCTCTGGTCATCCCCTGTACTGTGTCCGCAGTCTCTGGTCATCCCCTGTACTGTGTCCGCAGTCTCTGGTCATCCCCTGTACTGTGTCCGCAGTCTCTGGTCATCCCCTGTACTGTGTCCGCAGTCTCTGGTCATCCCCTGTACTGTGTCCGCAGTCTCTGGTCATCCCCTGTACTGTGTCCGCAGTCTCTGGTCATCCCCTGTACTGTGTCCGCAGTCTCTGGTCATCCCCTGTACTGTGTCCGCAGTCTCTGGTCATCCCCTGTACTGTGTCCGCAGTCTCTGGTCATGTACCCGCAGTCTCTGGTCATCCCCTGTACTGTGTCCGCAGTCTCTGGTCATCCCCTGTACTGTGTCCGCAGTCTCTGGTCATCCCCTGTACTGTGTCCGCAGTCTCTGGTCATCCCCTGTACTGTGTCCGCAGTCTCTGGTCATCCCCTGTACTGTGTCCGCAGTCTCTGGTCATCCCCTGTACTGTGTCCGCAGTCTCTGCAGTCTCTGGTCATCCCCTGTACTATGTCTGCAGTCCATTGGTTCAGAATATTTTTTTCCCCAGTTTTCTGCCTCTAAAACCTAGGTGCGTCTTATGGAGCGAAAAATACGGTATATATAATGCAACTGCTGGCCTGCCAAGCTTGCTTGCAAGCAATGCCATGTGATCGCTGTGATTGTCTAGCATACTAATCAGTAACCATGCTGATTGGTCTTCATTCTGACAGGACCGTTGTCATCTATACTACTGCCACAGCACTAATGGCTAGCATCAGAAGTGGCTACTAGTTCAGTCACTGTATCCTGATCTTTTTTTTTTTCCTTGTGTACATTAAATCACT